CACTATTTGGCGCTATTCTCGCAACGGTCGCGACCCAAAACTTTTGAAAATTTCGGAGCGGTTCGGCTTTTTCCGGAATTATATCGCCAAATATTGTTTATTCAAATTTATTATTATTTTCGTTTAATTTTATAAATAAAATACAGTGTGTTGCATACAAGAAACTTTATTATATATAAGGACGCATGTATGAAATACCTATGAAACATTGGAAACCGACGTTATGCCACGATCCACGATGGTTTTTGCAGTTCACAGTTCACAGCACAGCTTTTTAAGTTTTTAATCAATTCACTTTTTTACAATTATCACCGGTTGGAGTAAATAAAACTTGAATTAAACTCACAAGATAGCAATAATTAGTTTGAAAATGGATGCTATAAACACTTTTCTGAATTTCTTAAATGAGAGCGGTTTAGATTTTGAAAGATTATTATGATTTTTGAAGATTCTGACTTTGACAAGAGAAAATTATTTCTGTTTTTGTTTGCCGTTGTTCTTAGCGACCGCTATAGCAGCGCCAGATCGCGTATAACGGTCGCGACCCAAAATAATTTCGCGACCTAAAATTTTTACGGGCTTTCCAATCTAAACTTGTTGCATTTATCTATGTATGACATGGCCAGATCTATCGTTTTACATAACTTGACGTTTAAAGTCATAGGCTACTGGTTATAATCAAGAAAAATATACGCTTTAAAACTAAATCTTAAATAACATAAAAACAATTTATTTTAGGTATAGGAACATGTATAGTCAAAAAGTAACAAACTGAAAAGCTTTTCACTATTGAAATAAAAAATGTGGGTTTCCATTTGAAAAAAATGATTTATTATCGCTCAATTCCATGACAGCTGCGGTCATTATTATATGACATTCCAACAATTTCATTTTTGAAATAGATATCCACATGTCTTCTTTTTAACTCACAGTGACTGTGGTAATCAGTAAATTTGACATTTATGCTATACACTAGAGATGGCACCTATCCGGCCGGATACCGGATATTCAAAAAGTAACATAAATAACAAGAAATAATTTATACTTACATTTTAAGCTGCTTTTATTTAAAGCTGAAAATTACAAAAATTAAATATTCATTATTCACTTTAATGAAAAAAATAAAAATGAAAACTTTAATTAGTGACATAAATAACTAATAAATGAAAAACCTTTGAAAAATACGCAAATATGCACAGATTCTTAAAATTTACCATCCTGTGTTTTTTTTCGTTTATTAAAGAGAACCTAAAAAAAATAATAGTCAAAATTAATAAATGGCAAAATATGGTAAATATAATCAAAATTTTCAGCGTTTGTCGGTAATAGGCGATTTCGCTTGTTTTCATAAGCCAAACCAGCTTCGGAAAACAACCTCTCGCTAAAAACACTGCTGCAAGGAGCTGAAAGGTGTATTTTCGCAAATTTCGTCAAATTGGTTTAGTGGTTTACGTTATCCGACCATCAAGTGTAATGGTCTCGGGCCTTGACTATGATCAATTCGAACTGTTCAAGTAGTAGTCGATCTCACTTGCAATTAGGTTTTTCTCTTGATCGCGACATTGATATTGTTTTCCTCTGCGATTTCATGGAAATAATCCCAGAACGTGTCGTGAGATTCGCGAGTAACATTTGAATCAGTTTCATTTCTTATAGTTTTTTTAGCAGGTGTGAAAGATGACGATGAACTATCACTGTTAGAAGACTCCAGAAGAGAAAAATTGAACCGATCGCGATAGCCGGATATTCGGCCATCCGGCCTCTCAGCTCACCGAATATCCGGTATTCGGTATCCGGCCAAACAACTATCCGTTTCATCTCTACTATACACATATTTTTGACAGGCATTTTTTTTCGTTCAAAAATTTTAAATATATTTTTTTCTCAAACACGGTTAATATTAGGTATAGAGTGTTTAATATCAAAATTCATAAAATTTGACAGAGAATTTAAATATGTAATAAAAAATGGGGGTACCCATTTAAAATAAGAAAGTTGCTGTCATCTTCCGGTGTTTCCGGAAGTGCCGCCATATTGAAAATATTTTTAATCGATAGGTCTCGCTATAAAACAATGATATGCAAAAAGCTCCGATCTAGATATTGTAGTTCTCTAGAGACTTCTAATGTACGCTCAGCCTGGAACACCCTGTATACCTCATGATACCGTATTAAAAAAATATAAATTGAAAGTTCTCGTGCCTGTAGCGTTAAGTAAATACGATAATGTAATAAATACGGTATTTTGAGGGATAAATTAGGTTTCTCGCAATATATCGTAAATCTATCCGTTACCGTTATAACGTTATTGATCTAACTTAAGATTCTCATTGTTTATGTTCACATTTCCGGAATATTCTTGACTTCTTGTCCAACATTCTTTTTACTTATGAAGAATGGAAAAGTACTAGAAGCTGCTGTTCTTGGAGATATAAATGGAGCGAAAATAAGATGCTATTTTACATATTTTAAATAATAGAGTTGACGCTATATATAATATACATGAGTGATATATGAGTAAGATGTTTTACTTGAATTTTAGATGTACTTACTAAAAAAGACTAGATAACTAGACCAAACTAGACTAGCAATGCCTTAAACATACATCAAAAGAAATTATATTGCATGTTCCTGACCGTATTATACCGATTGATAAAAAAACGGCGTCCAGTTGGCTTGGAAATGAACATCGATTACATTCCCCAAATAATTTTACATATAAAATGACAGCAATCTTCATGTCATAGCCATCGCTGACGCAGTTTATTTCTCGACCCTACGGTACCTATAGAGTAGGAGAATACAATCAGCTTTGCACAAAAACGAGTACCGAAATCGTTTAATACAGGTTTTTTTATTTTCATATTACCTATCACTAATTTATTTTTCTATACCGATTGAAATCGGTCTTCTGGTACCGGTACCGAAACCGGTATACCGGTCTTCTAAAAAAAGACGATACCGATACCGGAATATCTCAAAAGTATCGGTATACCGGAAGACCGAACATGCCTAGTCGTCCACGACACACATGGCAAAGGACAAAAAGAGATCGAAGTAGTAAACCGATCATGGCGAGATGTCAAATCAATTGCCAACAACGGAACCCTCTGGAGAGCGTTTACTGAAGCTCTATGCTCAGCGTAGGAGTAAAGGACAAAATTATTATTTTCATAGACACAGATCCAGTAGACGTACTTTTACATTATATTGAAAAAATTAATCAACCTTCGGTATTTTATAAATTTATGTGTTTATATTTCTTCGGTCATCTGTTGAAATACGTAAACAACTCCTCCGAATAGCGATGGAGAGAACTCACAAAACATGTTCTGAGATATGGACATAGTTCAGTAGATGGCGCCAGTGATGTTAAGTTTTAAAGAAATAAATATCGACCTCTAAAAAATGAATACAGGAAACTTTCAACTAATAATTTTAAAACATACGAATTTATCTATAAAATTTTAAAAGCAAACTCTATAGATATGGTATTAAAAAATATAAAAATTGCAATTTAAAATTTTACAATATTTTTGAAAATTTGCTCTTTGTCCGAAAACCAAAAAAAAAAGGAAAATCTTAATTTGTAAACTTAATTTTGACTAATCCATTTTTTTAAATAAAGATAGATATGTTTCTTTTGCTAATATCGAGATTTTAAAGATACATCATTACTTTGGTATGCAGTCATAAACTTTTTTCATATTTAATTTTATTAATAGATACTAAACGGCAATATAGCATTATTTAATGAATGCATTTAAACTAGCTTTTTTCGTAATTATCTATATTTGGGGCTTTCAGAAAGATTTTTTATTTGCTTTTATTCACAGTTATCGATTACTAAAACGAAATGGAAAACCGAAAGTATTTCACATTCGTTCACGTATACTGAAGTTATTATTTATTCGGCATCAAGAAAATAGCTATTGATTTCATGAATTAATAAACCGTTCTAGTTTTAGAATAAGATAAACTGCCGCAGGATTAGCTCATGGGAAATTTTTGTAGGTACGAAATATTTTATAAACTTTTTCTAGAAAATAGTGGAGTTTTATTTTAGTTTCTTCTGTTTTTTATTTTTTATCACGTTTCTCATAATTCAAAATTCTTATTCATGTGAATTACCATTAAGGTTTACAATTGTCAATGATTATCAAGCTTTGCAAGATACAAAGTAAAATGAGGTAAATATGTTATACATATGTATATATAATAAATATAGAACATTACAGTTACAATTTACACAGTAACATTCACAAAGCACAAACACATTAAAAATAATCTTAGCTAGAGAAATTGAAATAGAGATACTCGTCTTGCGAGTAGAACGCATTTTCAGTTAAAAATGTCCTCAATTTAATTTTAAAATCCTTATTTAATAAATTTTTAAAACATTCAGGTAGTCTGTTATAAAATTTGATAGACCAATACCCCGGACCATCCTGACACCTTCTTAGACGCGAAGAATTCTGTTACAATGTTATTTTTGTTTCGCGTATTATAGTCATGAACTTCGCTGTGAGTTGTACATGAGAGTCTATTTTATTCCTTAAATCTAGTAGGTTGCGATAAATATAAAGAGATGGCAATGCCAGTATTCCCAGAACCCGGAAAACGGTCCGACAATCCTCTCTATACCCAAGACCGGCCAGCAGCCTTACGGCCCTTCTCTGTAGTCTAAAAACCCTGTGGGTTTCAGCTGAGTGATCCCATACTTGGATGGCATATAAAATATGACTATGGATAAAGGCGAAGTAAGCGAGCTTCATTGTGTTTCGCGACACATTGTTAGCTAAATTTTGCAGAAGGAATAGGCCGCTGCCCAGTCTCCCACAAACCGTGTCAACGTGCCCGCCCCATTGAAGCTTCGGATCCAGACAAACCCCGAGGAATTTTACCTGTTCCCTGGAAACGTGAATGTTTCTCATAGAGAATATTATTTTTTTGTTTTTTTCTGTATTTAACACTAATTTGTTCGCATGACAACCAGCACATTTACAACCAATCGCTAGCTCTCGACCGCGCTCTCTCGGAACCCTCCAAAGATTCTTCGAGTGTTTCACCTTTACAGGCAATTGTAGTGTCGTCTGCGAACAAAGTAAAGCCTGCTGAAGCCTCACTTGCTGGTAAATCATTTATATAAATTAGGAAGAGAACCGGACCGAGTATGGAGCCCTGAGGAACCCCAATATTTACAACAGTCTCCCCAGACACCACACCCCCCACCTTTACCTTTTGACATCTATCTTCTAAGTAAGACCTCAGCAGTTCCACAGTCTTTGGCAAAAAATTATACGCTATGATCTTTTTAAGGAGGATACCATGGTCCACACTGTCGATGGCTTTACTCAGGTCACAGAACAACACTGTATCGAATTTCTTGCAATTGAAAGTCTTTAAGATATCCGAGACTAGAGCCGAGACTGTCTGGACTGTGTTTCTGTTCTTTCTAAATCCTAATTGGAATTCATTAAAAAGATTCTGGTTCTGAAAAAAGTTTACGATTCTGTTTACCATACAACGCTCAACAATTTTAGAAATGATAGGTAGGATAGAAGTAGGTCTGTAGTTGGATGGCAAACTCTTAACTCCTTTCTTGTAGATTGGAATAATTGTACCTTTTTTTAAAATGGATGGAAAAATATTTTCTCTAAAACTCATGTTTATTAATTTAGTTAGCGGAGATATTATAATGTTTTTTTATTGATTTTAATAGTCTAACGTTCATAACAGCAGAGTCCCGACTTACTTTGTTTTTTAAACAATTTATAATGTCTCTGATCTCATTGTTAGTAACCTCTGTAAACTCAACACTAGTCTGGGGCCGCACTATATTAGCAAGGTTATCCAATGGGTTTGAATCTGATACTGGGACTTCACGTACCAGATCAAGAGCAACATTAGCAAAATAATGATTGAAAATATCTGGAGTTATAGTACAGTTTTCTAGTGTAGACTTACTGGTACTTTTGCCTCTTTGAGAATTTATTATATTCCATGCACTTCTTGCTGGATTAGTAGAATTGGATATCAAATTGTTATTCAAATTAATTTTTGCGTTACGTATTTCCTATTTATACATTTTTTACAGTTCTTTAGTTCTCTAGAAACATTGATATTGTGTTGTTGGGTCGACATATCAACTCATACAGGGTCATCGGATTTTATCCGGACAAATTTACAGCCTGTTAAATATCACAGTATTAATTTTTATTTCATTCCTTGACGATGCTATTGATTTGTTATAGTAGGTTCTAGAGCGTTTTAGTCTCGGTTTTAGTGCTCTTCTTTTCCAACTATACAGGGTGTCCCATTTTAGTTGAAATCATACGGTATCTCCGTTATTAGTCGTAAAGATAGGAGGATGCGGTGTGCACAAACCTGTCCCACTTTTTTGTCAAACGAAAGATGCTGAAAACAAAATTTTATACACGTATCTCCGTCATCGTGGATGATATCAAGAAGGTGAAAACTGATTCTTGTAGAACTCTTTACTTAGAATACAGTGGCGTAGTCTGTTTTTCTACGAAAAAACTAATTTTGAAAATATGAACTAAATTTATGTTTTTTTGTTAACACCTGTATATTTATATATCATATGGTTCGTTTTTCTATGAGCTTCTCAAAAATATATATTACTCTATATTATTTATTTTCACTAATTACTGCAATATTTAAAATATATCATTTTCTTATTAGTAAGCCGTGATTAATAACAAAAAAAAATCAAAATTGTATTTACTAAAATAGTCATATACATATTAAAATTTTATTTGGGATTGATATATTTTACTTTTGAATTGATACCACTGAATCTCTGAATATATTTTTTTTCTTTTTTTTTTATAACGGAATTTATTATAACGGCCGGGATGGGTTTGCAAATATCTAAAAGCTTGCATTATTAGATTGCATTATTAAAGAATTTTCCAGGTGTTCGACATTGTTGTAGCCACAATATATTTCATATTTCAAAAATCTCCAAAATCAGAAATCGAGAAATTCGGGAATCAGGAGGCCATCATACAGGTCTATTGGTTCTAATTCATTGATTTGAGAAATAATAATTTAAAAAAGTAACAAGTAAAAAGTAACCTTTAGAAATGTTATTTTTGATAATATTATCTCATTTAGAACATTCCAGCTTGATAAAAAAATAGAGTTATATCTCGTAGTTTTTCTTTTGCAAATAAATAAACTCGTACCTACTTTAATTTAAATTTGATGGTTATGCTTAATTTTCATATTAAAATGGTTTTATTATTCTGCCAATCTAACATAGAAGGCCGTGGAAAACAAAAATTTGGTTTACGTCAGTTGAGAGACTTCCATTTCAGTAATTTGACAGGTTAAAAAACTGTAAAAAGCACTGAGTGTTGCGCTGGAAAGTGATTACTTGAAGTCAGCACTGTTTTTGTTGTTAATATCTTAACTTTGTGCGAAGAAGAATTCAACTAGATTTTTGAATATTTAAATGTTTTGTGAAATTAAAAATGACGATGATTTCTATTGTGAGAGTACTCTTTTTTGTGTTAGATACTTCAAATGTACACGCTAACATGAGAAAGATTTTTTAAAAGATTAAAACAGCCTACGGCCAAAGAAAACCGTTAAAATTATTTACTAAGCTTAATTATGGAGGATTTTGATGTAAATAATATACTGTGTGTTTGTAATTGCGAGCAGGCTAACCATTTTTTTACAGTTCCATAGAGACGCGAGGGGGGTTTGCGAAAATAATAATTGTCACGTCACGTCAAACGGGCTCAATTTGCTATTGTATATATTTTTTATTATTTTAATTGTAATAAATTTATTAAAAGTAGTGTGCCCGCAATCGTTATTTCCCTTGTAATAAGGGTGGTCCTTCGCAAGTCGCGACACACACTGTGTGATATAAAAAATGCAACACCCAGTATAGATAAATATATAGATACAGTAAAGAATCGATAATCCGAAGAGCGCTAATTCGGATTCCTTGCTAGTCCGGATCGGCAGCGCACCTGCATTATGTACCTTGTAATCCGGATTTCGTATGATTCGGTAATCCGAATTTGTGGTTCGAACTTGTTTTAACGCGTTTTATCGAAGTGGCAATTCATTTATATAGTAATAATTTGACGGCCGGACGTGTTTTAACGTAGGTAGTTCAGAATGGGGAAACGTAAACATATCACGTTGAGGATAATGGTTTATTAAGCAACGAAGCAAACCTATTTCCCTTTCATTTGAAATATTAGGCGCAAAAGCTCGTCAACTCTTCCAGAATATTTATGAAAAAGATACATTTACTGCAAGTAGAGGCTGGCTTCTTAATTTTAAAAAAAGACATGGATTAAGACATCTTAAAATCTGCGGAGAGAAATTATCCAATGATGAATCTGCTGTACTGCCATTTATTGCTAAACTAAGGCAAGTTATAAAAAATCACGATCTCGCTCCTCAGCAAATTTATAATGCTGACGAGTCAGGACTCTTTTGGAAGTTATTACCTGATAAAACCTTAGTTCACAAATCAAGCAAGGAGCGAATACGTTTATAGCTTGCACAAATGGTGATGGTACCCAAAAACTTCAACTTCTTATCATTGGAAAAGCAAAGAATACAAGAGCATTCAAAAACAAAGCTTTACCTATCGAATATGTCTCTAGTGGTAACGCATGAATGACGTCTGAAATTTTTAAGGATTTGTTTCGTAATTCATTCTGCAAACAAGTAAAATCATTTTTGAAAACCCAACGACTTTCTGAAAAAGCCTTACTGTTAATTGATAACGCGCCCAGTCACTGCTCTGATGAGCAATTAATTAATGAAGATGGGAAAATTTTCACTTTGTTTCTACCCCCAAACTGCACAGCTTTGATTCAACCGATGGATCAAAATGCGATCAGATTAACAAAGCTAAACTACCGAAAATGTCTTTTAGCCCATATCCTTTCGCAACTTGAAGACGGGGATGATATTGGTAAATGCATTAAGCAAATTAATCTTATGGATGCAGTTTGTTTACTCCATAACTCATAGGAAAAAGTTACAACGACCTCTTTAGAAAAGTGTTGGCACAAACTTTCATCAGGCAATTTACCAGATTATGACCCTGATGATCTCACTCGTCTAAGCCAGTTGCAAAAGAAATTGCAGCAAGTAAAACATGGCTACCAAGACATTTAAAAACATGTTGACGCAAATTGATGGAGAGATTTATACAAATGCTGAAATTAATCATTGGGTTGACAACTCAAAAAATATCATAGAGCATGGTGATCTCCAACATGAAGTTATAGACGACGTCGACGAGACCAGCGATGAAGAAATCTATATCCAGTCAAAAAAAATCAAGCACGTTGATGCAATAAAATATTTTACATTGGGATTGCAGTGGGCTGAAGAGAATAACCTTAGTATTAACGATATTCGTGTCTTAAAAAATATACAAGAGGAAGCTATAGTTAAGCATTCTTCAGTTAAGGCACTTAAAAAACAAAGTAAAATCTCTGATTATTTTAAATAATGTAGTATGTATTTTATACTTTTGTATCTATAGGATGTATGTTCCTATTCACAACGAGTTTTGTTACAGAATATGCTTATTCTTATTTAAATTATATTTGTTTAAGGTTTTGCTAATAAAAATGTTTTATTTTATTCGTTTTTTATAAATATATGTGTATAAAAATGCAAATCGCGATAATCCGGATTTTTTATTAATCCGGATTAAGCTGTGCTTTAATTGATCCGGATTATCAAGTCTTTACTGTAGATAGATTGCTTTATTTGACCACATTTTGTACAAACAAGATACAATTGTAGCATGCCATAAAAACAGTTAAATATATACAAACATAAAAATTAAAACAACATGTAAGTAAAATACAAATACAGTGAATAAACAATGAATACAACATTTAAGTTAGGTCGGTGGTTAAGTTCATAATATTAAAATATTCCGCCACCGAGTAGAACGCATGGACTATCAGAAAATTCTTCAAAACTGCCCTAAATCTACAAATTTTATAACTTTTGACGGAGGTAGGAATTACATTATACAACTCAACATTTAAAGAGTTTCTTGAAGATTTGGTGAGCTTAAATTTATTTGCTCTTATAAGATGAGCGGATCTTGTGCCATAGTTATGTATATCAGAGTTATACAAGAGACTATCTTTGTTCTTGTGAATTTCTAACAATTGACATAAAATGTATAAGGATGGCAGAGTCAATATCTGCAAATTAACAAAGTGTGGTTTACAGTGATCAAGGTGATATCCTATCTATTAGTTGATACCATTATCCTGAAATTATCTGATTTTTTTAGCCAATCCTCCATTGCAAATAGACCCTCATCATCTATTATCGGATTTTTTTTGTAAAATTCTTCTATCATTTTATCACTGCTGTAGGAAACAGTTGGAGTGTTTAAAGATATAATTTTTGTAATTGATGAAATTTTATCAATAACTGCATCAACCTTTAAATTTAAAAGGGATAATTCTTCTAATACAGCCTTTTTAAAATCTGTTAATAATAGAAAAACATTATATAATTTTTGCTACAATTTTATATTAAATGGGTTACACTTACCAATATCTCCAGTCCTTTTATTTGTAATTGTAGATTCTAAAAAATATCTTTATCTCAAAAAAAAATAAACAATAAATGATTATAGAAGAGCCTACATAAATACCTATATAAATACTATATTAAATAAATATCTGTAAGGAGAGCAGAGAACGGTAGCAGTAATTTAATAATAATATAATGGTTACCTAATATATCTATCTCTCTCATTAACTCAGGTGTGCTTTTGCTTTTTGATTTTATTCTAGAATCTTCTGCATCAGATGTATCTGAAAGAGAATGATAACTGTATCTTTTCTTTGAAGCCTTAATTTCAGGGTTCACATTTTGTAAGTTCTTGTTTTTTTTTGGTATTATGTCTGTATCAGAACTCTCTGAAGTAGAGCAATTAAAAATGCCTTTTCTCTGAGTGCCTTGAGTAAAGGATATCTTCTCAACTGTAGGGCTTTTTGAAGATAATTTTTGATAGGTTTTGTTTGAAATACCTGTATAGTACAACAAAAACAATACAGATTAGAAATAAATAATTTAAGAATCATTAATGATGAACAAAATTGTCCAATATATATACCCTTGCAACGAAAACTAGAATAAGTCGAAAAACGGCGATTTTGGGTTGAAATTAAAGATAATACAAAGTATCTTGAAATAAATATTGTAATAATCCGGAAATAAGTATTTTATTTCGAGATACTATATTTTTCATGTAAAAGTTCTATTCAAAATATGCAAAATAGATACTGTAACTAAAATCGCCGTTTTTCGACTTACTATAGTCTTCGTTGCAAAAGTCAATATATTATACAGACCTACCTTTAAATATATTTTCACTAAGAGGTGGGTAAATAGTTTCGTCAGAGGAACTGCCTGAAATATACTTCAAATTTTCTTTTTTATTCCTGTACCCGCGTCCTTTAGGCAAGCTCTCACTGTTTGATGAAAGGTCACTTGTTACCATGGCCTTTTTAGCTTTTTTTTGAGCTGTATTTAAATCGTCTAAAATGGTATTTCAAAATTATTTAGAGGCTAAATTAAGAAACTGCTATATTACTATATTGTCCCAATATTACAGCTGAATGCCTATCCCAATAACTTTGAGGGACCGCTGAATTTTCAATTAATTTTAAAATGTTTGACTTGTTTGTGTCAGATGGAGGCCAAAAACATTCGTTACAGTTACTTATATACCAAGACATGGGCACCACTTCAACGGTTTTTTCTTCAGGAAAGTTTATCACGGCAAAAGACATTTTCTTGAAAATTTTCCTGACAACTTCAGTAAAATTACAATAAACAATAACTACAGAAGATTAATTATATTCACAAAAATCATTGACTACTAACTTAATAAAGATAAAGACTAATAAAGGATTGACGCTAGGATTGAGGTGAGTCTTACACAGTGTCAATATGCACTAAAGGAAAACATACAAGTCTATGTTCATATGGTAGTACCATTACTTTTGATTTGATATTGCAAAAATTATACATAAAAAGTTCACAGCTTTCTCTTTCAATAAAGGCAATATTAAACAATAATGAGTTACATGGAACTTCAAAAAATGATTCAACTTTTTTGAATAAACAACCTATAATAACAGTTTTTCCTCTATATGTAGCAAAGTTCCTGACTTCAATTATAGTATCATCATGAAGAAGAATAGATCTATCAGCTAACTTAGCAGTATTTATACAAAATTTATCAAATCGAGCAACTTTAAATTGTGGATTAACACAATTATTTAACAAAGGGCCTGATGAATGTTCTATTGATAACTTTTTAGAAATTTTATTAGATGAAGGTATATATTGTAATTTGGTTTCAATTGTTCTTCGAATTACTTGCTGAATAGGCAATGCAGTTTTACGAACTCTTTTTGTTAACTGGGGCATAAAGTTTTCAAAAGGAAAAGAGCTGAAATCATCAAGAGGGCCAAATAATTTTACACAATCTGTTAAGTGCAACAAAGAATGTACATTATGGGACACAAAATCAGAACCATTTAACTTAATACTATTAATAATAAAAGACTTATAAAGCTCATGTGCATATTTAGTGAGATCATCTATTTTAGAAAAAGTAGGCGATATTAAAATTAATGTAGCTACACTGAAGCAAACAAAATTGTTGTAATATTGTTTATGCAAAGTATTTTTAAAAATAATATAACCAGTATAAAGTAAAAGCAACCTAAATTCTGTTGCTTTATACCTTTTACAATCTGTTATTGATCTTGTTTTCCTTGAAAACTCAGAAGGTATATATTTATTCATCTCATTCAAATTTGTATCAATAATATTTATTGTTGAAGCTCTAAATTTATAAAGGGGCTTGCCATATACCCAACCATATATTTTATGACACAAAAGCCTTTTTACAACACCTAAAAGAATGCAATGCATATAATCTATGGGAACATTATCAATGATGTTAAAATTAGGAATATTCTCAATCAGACTAATTCCAGTATGATGTTCTGGTTGATGCCTAAATCTGAATGATTCATCAGTTCTCTTTTCAAAAACAGTTTCAACAAAACACATTACATTGTTTTCAAAATCTCCTTCTAAGGTACATTTTGAACAACTAAAAAATCCATTATGACCTTTAATCGATAATATAAAAGACTTTGCTGGTAAATCACAAATCAATGATATAACTTTAAATTTATATATTTTAGAATTTATAATAATACCGGAATTGACGAGTCTGACAGATTCATCAACAAAATCTTTTAGTAAATTATTTGCATTAGGTTTCTTAGCACCTTCGTAAAGTGCCACACAAAAGGGTAAATCTTTTAAAAATGGCACACTTTTAATTAAACATAATATTGGCCAAAATGCTTGATTTTTATTTTTAAATATTGGGACACCTTCAATGTTTACAGAAACATTAAAAAAATTAGTGTCAGATAACTTAATCGAAAGCTTACTACATAAATTCTGAATACAATCTTGGATTCCGAAATAAAAGTATGAACCTGGCCCACAAGGTACAATAGAAGTTTTTCTAGGTGTTTGTAATAAGGATCTTGGATCTTTTGGAAGTGACCCTAATTCATTTAAAGAGGTGGTATTTAAAATGTGTAGAAGTTTCCGCAAACTTTGGTGAGATATATTTTCAGTTACTGCCCAAGATGCTAGTTTTCTTTTTAAAGATTGGTTTGAAAATATGTCATTACGAGAGTTGTAGGAAATGTCAGCACTGGAACTACACTTATTAGAACAAAAATCTTCAATTATACTACCAGAGATACTACTACTACTTTGATGATGTACAGAGGCTGATAATAAAGAATCACTTTGGTTTGAATCAACTTGATGTACAATATTGAAGTCATCTTTGCGTAACATTGACTTAATAAGCTTTTGGATCCTTCTTTTTGCTTGAATTTTAAAATATTTTTTAGAATAACCAATTTTTTTTCGAGGTCTCATGGTTTTATGTGGTTTTAAAATACACTAAATTCAGTCACCTTAAAATAGATACTGAAAACTTAGTTATTCTATGCTGAAAACACAAACATAACAAGAACTATTTTACCGATTCTGTCTTTAAAATAAATTTGCATCACTTACCTTTATGTTATCTCAGGTTTGGATCAGAATTTGGATGAAATGGAGCACGTTTTTAGTTTTTAGCGGTTTTTACTTTTTTGATAAGTTAGGTTATGTTAGGGATGTGATTCGAATCGATTTTAATCGAAGATCGATCTTTTTACCCAAAGAATCGATTATAATCGATTTTTATCAAACTATCTTTTCGATTTTTTATCAAACTATCTAATCGATCTTTGGTACACCCGATCTCCGATCTTTTTATTTCATAATGGAAGATCGTTTTTATTTATACAGATTTACAGGTTTATTTATTTGTTAGAATAAGGAACACAACACTTTAAGTTTTTCTTGAATATTTGTTTACAGTCTACCATCCCTAGTAAAACGCCATTATCCCAAAACGCCAACGCCATCGCCATTACACGCTCGTTACCGCATGCGCCGATGATTGTTTTTGACTTACGTTTTTGACTAATGTCAGGTTTTCAAATTTTTGTCGGTTATTCCCAAGATTATTATTTTAATCAGTTTTAATAACCTTGAGTGATTTTCATATTTTTATATTTCAGCCTTTTTATTTTATATCGTATATCTATAAGTTTAACCTCTAACTAAACAACTGATATATCAAAATCACAGAATTTACCGGTATATATTCTGTGTCAAAATCAAAACCATCGTAAAGCATGCAAAAAGCCGAATTCTATTTCAGTCATGAAAAAGTGAAAAATGAATTGTGATGCCAGAAAGGACCGAAAGATGTCGTGACGTATACAAACTTAATACATAAAGTCCCTAGATGTTTATTACACAAAAATTTAATACTAGGAAATATACAAATATAATGTATTGTATTTATTTTTTCATATCGAAATCATTTTTATTCTCCATTATTTTTATTCAGATATTGATATATGTTTAGAACGTGAATATCAGATAAGTATAATTAATTGTAAACAATAATTTTAGAAGACATTCTAAGGTCATGCTTATAATATACCTTCAAATCACATTCATAGTAGAATGTACTATTCATATGGCATACTTATTAAAAAAAGAATATACTTATAAGAACTTAGGAGGAATATTCTTAGAATGTAAATGTTCCTTTTGTGCTATCTGGGTACTTGTGAAGCAACCCCTATTTATATGCTTAGCTATATTTATGATATTTTGTTGGTTGACTGCCTGCATGAAGTGAGGTAACCGATAACATTTTTATCCCAGTCTGTTTACAAATAACCAGACTTTATTTAATTAATAAAAAAGAGGTTTTAATTTTATTATTCTTTTTTTAAATTTGTTTCAGGATATTGAGTTTTTCCTTTGGGATATTGGAAACATCATTGATTAATTTTCGATCTTGTTAAAAAATAATTATTGTTGTTTAATGTAGTAACAATTTGATTGAAATTTAAATTACATTTTTTTAAACTAAAATGTCAATAGTTGACATATCATATGTCATTCTATGACGAAGGAAGTAACTGAAACTAACTGAATATGTCAGTCAATCCTGATTTATGTCATGTACTAACATGCCAAATCTTGTTTTTTATCTGGAAAAACAAAAAAGTTATAAGGCACTTTCCAAAAACACCCTGTATACCATAAATGTACTAAAAATATGTAATATGTACTATTCTTGCTTCCTTTAATAAGAATTAAGAGAAAATAATAACATTTTTTAAGATTGGAAGCTAAAAAAATCTTAAAACCACTAATATATTTATTACCACTTGTTTTCCCAGTCCACAGTGCGCCGCACCGGCAGCAATCGATACTCACACAAGATATAAACAACTCTATACACAGTTAACTTTATTTTTTATTAATTTTCTCCCATACGGGAGGGGGGAAATTAATCACCGCGACCTTATGGATCAATTGTGTCCCCCTTTCTTAAGTTATAACTCATCATTTCTTCTCAGGGCTTTGACAACAGCCACTATCTGAGACGGTTTTACAGAGGTTGTGTGTTCTCCATCTCCAATATCAGTTGTACCAAAGTTTATGGCACGAATGGTTGTCGTTTCGGGGCACTCAGTGATGAGGTGTTTTGGTGTTTCACCATTTTTCCTACAGAATTTTCATTCGCCGTTGTTTCTTAGCTTCAATCTACTGAGGTGTTTATTGAGAAGACAGTGTCCTGTTAAAAACACCGAAACTATCGGCAGATTGTTCTTTCTTGAAATTTCTGATTTTTCTCGGTCATAAGTCCTGCGAATTGTTTTCGAGTATCTTAGGCCGTTGGAGGATTCCAGGTTACGGATCGAGTCTTCCGGGTCGTTGACTTCCGCTTTAATTTGATTTTCACTAGAGAAGCAGAACTGTTTTGATCCAGTTAGTGGAGTGTTCGCTCCTTTTATAGCTAGGTCGTTTGCTTTTTCATTACTTTCTATTCCTTGGTGCCCTGGTAGAAACACCAGTAGAAACACTTTATTTTCTGTGCCTATTTTGTTCAGCTTCTCTAGGCATTCTTTGACCAATTTTGAATTGATAGTTACTGAGTTGATTGTTTTTAATGCTGCTTGACTCCTATCTAGACTTGAGGAGAGGAAAAATCTACTAACATGATGTATTGTCATGTACTAACATACCAAATATTGTTTTTTTATCTGGAAAAATAAAAAAGTTATAAGGATGAGCCACTTTCGAAAAACACCCGGTATACCATAAATATACTAAAAATATTTAATATGTACTATTCTTGTTTTTTTTTAATAAGAATTAATAGAATATAATCACATTTTTTAAGATTGGCAGCTAAAAAATTCTTAAAACCGCTAATATACTTATTAGCAGTTACTTTCCCACTTTAGCGCACAGTGTAGGCATGTTCGGTCTTCTGGTATACCGGTACCAGGACCGGTACTTTTGATATATTCCGGTATCGATATAATCTTTTACAAGATCGGTATATCGGTTTTGGTATTGGTACCGGAGGACCGGTTTAAATCGGTACAGAAATATATATTCATGATAATATGAAAATCAAAAAACCTGTATAAAACGATTTCGGTACCGGTTTTGTGCAAAGCTTATTGTCTTTCTCCTACTCTAGGGAGCGTATGATCGAAAAAAAACTGCGTCAGCGATGGCTATGAAATGAAGATCGCTGTCATTTTATATGTAAAATTATATGGGGAATGTAATCTATGTTCATTTCCAAGCCAACTGGACGCCGTTTTTTTTTTCGATAATTCGGTATAATACGGTTAGGAACATGCAGTATAATTTATTTTGATGTATGTTTAAGACATAGCTGCCTAGTTTGGTCTATTTTTTTTAATATATCTAAAATTCAAGTAAATCACCTTAGTCGTGGATCACTCATGTATATTATATAAATTAAAATGTCTGTAAAACTCAGGCCAATATTCAATACCGTCTACTCTATTATTTAAAATATGTAAAATAGCATCGTATTTCTGCTCCATTTATATATCCAAGAACAGCAGCTTCCAGTACTTTTTCCATTTTTTGTAACTAAAGAGAATGTTGGGCAAGAAATCAAGAATATGCCGGAAATGTGAACATAAACAATCAGAATCGTAAGTTAGATTAATAACGTTATAACGGTAACGGATAGATTTACGATATATTCCGAGAAATCTAATTTATCCCTCAAAATACCATATTTATTACGTTACCGTATCGGTTACAACTGGCACAACAACAAAAATGTTATTTCGGTCTTTCCGATATTCCGGTTCATCCGGTCTTCCGGTACAACTGGTCTTTCGGTCCATCCGGTCTTCTGGTACAGCCGGTATACCGGTTCAGTATCGGTCCCACCGATCTAATTGTTGGAACCGATATACCGGTTGTGAGACCGGTACTTTGTGGTACCGGATACCGGTACTGAAATATTAGGACCGAACCCTACCACAGTGCGCCGGTAGCAACCGATAATCAACCTCTATACACAGTTAAGTTTATTTTTTATTAATTTCCTCCCATACGGGAGGGGGGAAATTAATCCCCGCTACATTATAGATCAATTGTATCCCTCTTTCTTAAGTTATAACTCATCATACAGTCTCTTTGAGACGGTTTTATAGAGGTTTCTTCTCCATCTCCAATATCAGTTGTACGTAACTTTATGGCACAAATGGTTGTGGTCTCGGCGTACTCAGTGATGAGGTGTTCTTGTATTTCCCCATTTTTCCTACAGAATCTTCATTCGCCGTTGTTTCTTAGCTTCAATCTTCTTCTAATTGAGAAGACAGTGTCCTGTTAAAAACACCGTGACTATCGGCAGATTGTTCTTTTTTAAACCAAGCAAAATTTTTGATTTTTCTCAGTCATAAGTCCTGCGAAATATTTTCGAGTATGTTAGGCCGTTGGAGAATTCCTATTCCAGGTTACGGATGGAGTCTTCCGGGTCGTTGAGTTCCGCTTTAAGTTGATTTCCACTTGAGAAGCAGAATGGTTTTGATCCAGTTAGTGTGGAGTGTTCGCTCCTTTTCTAGTTAGGTCTTTTGCTTTTTCGTTACTTTCTATTCCTTGGTACCCTGGTAGAAAGACCAGTAGGAACACTTTTTTCTTTGCCTATTTTGTTCAGCTTCTCTGGGCATTCTTTGACTAATTTTGAATTGATAATTACTGAGTTGATTGTTTTTAATGCTGCTTGGCTATCGGATAAGATGGCTATTTCTTATTGTTTCCTATAGTTCCTTTTTTTGAGGAGGAGGGGAAAAATCAGCATAATACACCCGTCGTTGGGTAGTGTCGGAATCCTACCCACTAAAAAAAACCCGCATTCCAACGCTCTATCCAGCTGGAAGCCTCTTGCGCTTCTGGACTATTGCTCGAATGCATTTATATGTAATTTTCCATGATGTTTCACCGCTTAACAGCCCTTGCATCATATTTTTGGCATTAAAAACTTGTCCGCCACTGTCTCGTTGGAATATCTCTCTAAACTGTTTCAATTCATTGCAGAGGAATAGTGTGTGTTCGACACTATCAACTTTCTTGCAATATATGTTTGAGGTGGATCTCTCCTTTTTATACAGACAGCTGTAAAAGCATCCGTGCCCTGTCAATACCCGAGTTAAAAAATAGTCTGCCTCTCCAAAACTTCTGTCTAACCAGGCATTAATGTCTGATATGAGATCCTATAGCTCCCGACTAAGATAAGTTGTATGCATCTTTCTATAAGCGTAGATTTCTGCCTAAAGGATATTGGAGTAGATGCCCATTTATTCGGAGTATTTAATTTTCGGCTCAAATACTACCCCTGTTTCTGTTTTGGTTTTAGAAGCATCATTATACCACGTTATGATACGGTCTTTTACCTGCTGAGCAAACTTTTTCCTCTTCCAATCTTTTTTATTGCTCAATACTACAGTAAGGTGTTTCAAAGTTCTGTCAGAAGATTCTCA